CGTCACCCAAATCATCCGACATCCAGGCAAGGGCAAACAGATGATGGCACGAAAAACAGCCCACGCCATCGAGCAAATCAACGAATATGAAAAGAAAAGTGGAAAATACAAACCAATACACAGAAACTAAAGATCATACACATTGCCAAAATAAACCCAGCACCAATCACAGTCACCAACGTACCTATACAATACTCCAACGAAGGCAAAATTCTGGGACTCACAATAACAAGAACAGGCATAGCAAAACACATAACACAACGCAAGACGCTTGTCCAATCACAACTCACAAAACTACAAAGATTTAGCAAAATGTCCACCAAAATTCAACTACACCTATTCAAAGCACTTGTCCGCCCCCACTTGGAGTATCCACCAATACCACTCAACACGATCAGCAAAACCAGCCAACTTAAACTTCAATCAGTACAAAACAAAGCTATCCCTAGAGCATCAAAGCAACTCCCGCCATACACCACCAAAATACAAGAACTTTACGAATTATACAATATCGAACCACTGAACACACGTACACACAGCCAAGCTCAGAGAATCTGGAGCAAACTTGAAGACTTGGAGGACTCAATATTCTCCCAGTTAAAAGAATAAGTAACTACTAAAATACACAGCTGGTGACCCAAGAGCCTCCATGCTAACATAGTAGAACAAGACTCACTTGACACATATATGTGAACGAATAACACCACCATCTAACAAACATAAATTAACACCCATTACACTAATGATTGTCTTGCTAGCTTAGCTCCCCCCCCTCCACCTGCCTCCTTTGAGCGGGCAGGCGCTTGCTGCAGACTCCTATTTTCTCATGTTCTTATGACACAGAGAAACATCACACATACACTCATATATTACGGACGAGTGGACGCGTCGGCGCATAAAGAGATCTGTGGTAACCAGGAGACCCACTGAATCGGCTGCTTGTGCAATTAACCAGGCCGTTCACATATATTTATTATTTGGGTTTAAGTAACGAAACCCAAACGGTAGTTCCTTGTTTTATTATAAAAGGATTGTATATATAACTCCTGAGTGTAGATCGACCGTAAGTCTCACTGTATAGGAGTGAATGAGAAAGGAGACGGCGTTTATGTATTATAAACGTTAGGTCACGTCCTTACGATTAAGTTGATGTGAGCGACTGAAGAGTGAGGGCCTCGCTGTGCGGGCTTACAGAAATGCTGACTATGAGTCACTCCCTCCTGGGTGAGTTGCCCGCTCACTTGTCCAACTCATGTCTTACTCATAGACAGTGGAAAGTTACAGGGTGGTGAATATGAATATAATATCAGATGTATTGACCCATTTATATAATATGTTCTGTTGATGAGACAGGGGCCCATTAAACCACCACAAGATTTAACCTCGATAAAATCTGACCAAAAATTTGACAATCACATGACCCCCGTGACCTGGAAAAACTAACTAAATGCCGACCTTACAAACAGGGCAAGTGAGTCAGAGTTCTGTCGTTCAGGAGTTCAGAGACTCGACCAGACACTGGCGGTCCTGGAGGGAAGTAATGAGGAATACAGCCTGTTTGATGTGCTATATTTTGGGGTAACGTATCGGACATAACTAGAGTGTAGTCTATTCACTAGTAACGACATTGTATAGACCTTGTGAATGTTCCTTATGATGAGTAATTAATAGTGTTTTATTCAGTTAACTAATATATAACTTGTACTCAGACTTGTGTTAAGAAAGCCCCAAGACAATATCAGGAAGAGGAGGGACGTGAGGAAGGATCTGGCCGTAATATAGGTCACGAGGCGACCGTCACCCCAACCTCATATTACCTTTCTCACCCGCCGCGTCTCACATAATTTATCCCTCCCTTAATAAAACTCTCGGCTAAGTTAGTTGTGGAGTCGACTTACCACTCGCAGCTGTACGCCGGCACCTTCGTTATCTCGGTCATGACGTGAAATTAGGTAACTCGGATGTGGGTATCTGTCATTTCTATTATTACTTCAGCTCGAGTCAGGTTATGACAGTTTCTTATCTTACAATCTGCTGCCGAAGGATGTGTGATTTCCTGCTAACTCCTGTATTGTGATTTATTCCAATTTTATCCTTTTAAGCGGAACACATTTTCTAACATTCTGTATTTATTCTTAATTTAGAAAGTAGGAAGGAAAGATGCATTTGATAACAGCATCACACACAGAGCAAACTTTATACCAAGAAAAAAGATGACTGATTCATGAATTTTTTCCACCCATGTGTCGGAAATATATCACAAAACAAAAACATTCCTGCTAGTGTATATCTTCACTTACAATGACCTACAGTTAGAGTGTTTTAAAAGGATGAATAATGCAACTAGTATCAGAGTCACTGCTAATTATTACTCATACCTATTCACAGTGATCCGCTACTTGACGTGGGCGAGAGAAAACTTAACAAAATCACATGGTTGAAACACATGACACCTTACTCTTTATTTGAATATAATAAAAAAATACTATACTTAGTCTTTGTTTTGTTTGACTAAGACCCCTATACCTCAGGAATTAGAGAAAGGCGAGTGAGAGAGATAAGCAGATAGACAGACGAAAAAGAGGGTACTGGCCTTTTATATATATATACACAACCAAACAATTAGTGTAGGGTGGACAGTGAAAGATCAGACACCGAGGAAATGGAGACTGGAAAGCAAAGCCGTATTTGTAGCTCGAGAATGTATTTCGTTTGGATGGTTTGCTCTGAGTGGTTCTTGGTGAAATCTCTAGTTTATCACTGTAGTAAGGTGGTCCTTTAGGAGGTGTTTGATGGAGTAAGGTGGCCACTGGAGTAAGGTGGCCACAAGAGTAAAGTGGCCACTGGAGTAAAGTGGCCACTGGAGTAAAGTGGCCACTGGAGTAAGGTGGTCACTGGAGTAAGGTGACCACTATAGTAAGTTGGCCACAAGAGTATGGTAGCCACTGGAGTAAAGTGGCCACTGGAGTAAAGTGGCTAATGGAGTAAGGTGGCCACCAGAACAGAGTGTCATTAACTGAAGAACATAATTCACTGTGTTTTATAATCAGCGTCAGTAGATATTAAAGGAATGAAGAAAAGTTTCACGTTAGTAAAAATAAACCTATGTTCCAAGCCAAAATATTCATATTCTTACAATACATTATTTTATAGTACAAACACAGTAACATTTTGTAAATAATGTGCTCTAATTAGTTATACATATCTTTGCAAAATCTTCTAAAGGTTTTAACAGTCGCGGATGTATACCAATAACTCCTGAGGTCAACTGGCTCTGTAACGAGGCTTGAAACACAGTCTTAAATTTATATTTGTCGGAGTCATTGATTTGTACTGTAAAAAAAATCTTGTTAGCAGCCTAAGGTGTCATCGTGAAACAAGGCTTTTACAGGGTCTTTACCGCGCTTAAACAAATATAAAGATACAAAGAGGAACATAACCTGTTACATCATGTTACATCAGCTGAGATAAGAGCATAAAGGAATTAAATAATAAAGATATTAATCCTGTCAAGTAACTGTAATTAAATGTTTTGGACTATCACAGATACTTTCTATAGCTACCTGATGTTGCGAGATACGACAGATTGACAGAGGACATCAACCGTTCAAACACAAATTTCCGTCAGTAGGTTATGTTGACAGTCACCAAGATATTGTAGGCAGTGTCCATCTTCTATGGTTTCTACTTGGTTATATCATACCTTAAAATTCTTCAATATCGGTCAAGTGACTGCGTTCATTACTATTGTTTATCCTTTGATGTATAAATTAGGCAAAATTCCGACTTTTCCTTGAAGTCTAATTTACAAAAAAAAATAACAAGATTGGATAAGACAATATATTCAACAATGCTTCAAGAAGGTTTTCACATTCGGTACAAATGAACGGGTTACATCTACTTCATTTTCCGCTGCCTATGTTCGTATATAGGTAGTAGGCAGCTACCAAACAGGGAGGTACTACCGCCTGGGAAGATATTGGAAGCATAATGTGTTGTCTAATGGTAGACCCTGCTGCCATATGGCATCACGAAAATTGTGACCAAGTCCCAGGTTGCTCATCTGAGTTTCTGCCTCATTTGCACACAATTGCAGGGTCTCAATTGTTTCTCTTGCTATTGACAACACAACATACACATATCGTTTCTCACTAATGATCTTTTTTTATATTTCCTGATGGTTCCATATTATTATTATTATTATTATTATTATTATTATTATTATTATTATTATTATTATTATTATTATTATTATTATTATTATTATTATTATTATTACATTTTCGCCCCCGGGCCTTGATGTGGGTCAGTGACCTGTGTCCGAGTGGGCTAATACCCGTAAAAAAAAAGAAATGATTTAAGGCCATCCTAATCCGAGACATAAACGTCTAGACCAAACCAGAGATCAAGGGACGGCTTCATAACATCATAGAAGGCACTAAGCTAGACTGGTAGAACTAGAACCTGAAAATTGAGGAACTAAGTAGTTGGGGAGGAGGGGGAGGGGCACTGCTATTCACGGGCACAGGGAGCTGAGGAGGCCGGGGGGTTGCAGGGCCTCTGATACTATGGTGGTCGGGTAGTGGTTGGGTGGTAGTCGCTTCATACCATCGTTCGTAAAATTTCCAAGGATTCATAATTGTAACTTATGAGAATTTTTTTTAATTACTATGCTTCTGAAAATATAATTTACTATTATTAATATGTCTTGTAAAAAAATAAAACAATAAAACTACAGTAAAAAAATCCTACTTTATCACGCTCTTGAGTTCTAATTATTACTCAGCAAAAACATGGCAGGCAGCCCATCGTATGCTCTTACTGTATATAATCAAGCCGTCTTAAAACATGCTTTTTAGTACATGCTCACCCTCTTAAATATAATAGCTGTCCACTTTTCTTGAATACGTTGTATAAGTTAAGAGTAATTGTGTACTATTGATGCTAGTGTAATTACATCGATGTAGGATCCGTATCAATCATGATTAATGAAATGTTAATAATATCGTAATATATAATTGTGTCCCTAACAGCTGACAATTCTTATTAAAAAATGTCTGCATACATGCACAATGGAATAATATGAATAGGGGATAACAATCATATCATTTATATATAAAAATGTAGACGTGAAGAACAGGTGTTGGTGGTCCTGGAGGGGAGGGACTCGGAAATGGTAACAGCGTGCACTGGTTAAATCTCCTTGTTTGTGCCTTTGTCGACATTTTCTAAGCAACTAGCGTTGTCCACACCTTCCTTCATGCCTGCCATTGTAATGACGTCTTCCTGGACATCTTCATTTTTCCTACAAATTGCACAAAACAATCTTCATGAACCTCAGCGATGTAGATATAGTGATGATGGATTCATGTTTTTCTTTAATTTATATAACTCTATCTCAGAATTTAGAGCAGATTGTCTTTTTTTTAATATAAGTAATTCAAGTATGAATTGTTTAGATAACAACACCAACGTTAAAGTGACATTACTTACTGCAACACTTACAAGGAATACAATAGAAAACACTACAGTCAGAAAATATATGCCGAGCAGAGATACATAGTGGGCTATATTCCTTACTTATTATGAATGAACTTGTATACTTACTGCACTCCTTATTGTTGTAAGCTAACTGAAGAGAAGGAACAACGGCATGTTATAAGCCATGTATAGTTGTGTGGTTAATACAGATATAACTCAAAAGTAGTAAGTTTTCATTAGCTTAAAAATAATATGAACAGTGTATATAATTATGAGTCTGTGTTATTATTTCTGATTAATAAGCATAACTCGTGCTGCCTTCAGGATTTTAATATTGACTTTGACAAATGGACTTAAAAACAAGCTTTTGAGGAGTCATAATCCACTTCCTTGGGTTGTTAAGTGAAGAGGAAAGCCTTGCGGAATATCAGTGTATGTTGTGTAAACTAAAATCATATGTCAGTTGGAATCTTTAAGGAATTTTAAATCAGATTATTCCCAATTTAGCCAAACTTATCTTACGACCTTATCTTAATCTGGCCGAACTTAACCAAAAATAGAAAAGTTATTGAAATCTAACCTAACCTAACCAGTCTAAAAATCAGGTGTTTGATAAAAAGATTAGGAACACGAACAATATATGCTTAATAACTTACAACGCCTGACAATATCTGGCTTCTGCTTGAAGGTTGTGCACACAAGGTATGAGTCAATTGGGATTTTACAGTGATATTTAAGTTCCTCAGATTGGTCCTTGTGTTAAAGTGTTTATTTCGTGCTACTTTTAAGTTATTTTCTGAAAAACAGCCAGAAGTGGATAGCAGATAGTGTCAAGTTTCAAAGGATTTTTTTTTTATATCTATATCCCTTCAGATTGTTTTATATATATTACAGACATAAACTTACTGGTGTCATCCTCTGGAGTTGCACTGGGAGGATATCGAATAATTTTTAGATAACGTTAAAACAGTAGGAAAATATATATTGACATATTATACACACGTAAACTAACCCTGATCTACTTGTTTTCATGAGATAGTTAGATGCCATATATACACAATTATAACATTAAGGCTGATGGTCTAGTATGCTAACATGTACTTACAGATAAGACTTAATTTTTGGATTGCTGTGAAAGAGAAAATATAAGTTATACCTTAAAGCTGTAATTCATCCTATTCTTGTGGGGTAAAATCTCGATATATGAAGAAAAATAATCTTATAGAAGGAGAAATTGATTCCATATATCATACTACCAATGGCTGAAGACAGAGAGAGTTGTTTTGTTTTAAATTAAAAATCCACTGATTGCAAAGTTCATGTACCGTGTGTATATTAGTTTCCTAGAACTTTTATTTCTTATAAATTAAAATTAATTAGTATTAAAGAACTGTTCCCATTACAAAATTTCAACTCAGGTAAATGTATCACTAACACAACGTATTGATTGGTGGTGGTCTTCAGTATGTTAATTGAATCTTTAATTAATGAGCGTCTACTATCAGGCATATCTTTAGTTTCTTACTCACGGTGAATAAACTGTAAACACTTTCCCGTGGAGAGAAATGTTCGTGATAACTCACCTGTAGCAGGGGTTATAGAAGAAGCTCTGGTCACAGAAGTAGGTCTCACCGTCTTGCAGGGAGTCCGGGAGAATTTGGTTCAGCGTCTCTGGTAGCCCGATGCAACAAAGACCGCCTGCTACTGTGATCATACCTATCACCAAGTAAGGCAGGTAGTAGCCAAACTTGGACTGTGGGATTGAGAAAATGAAGTGAACTCGAGTTGTGATGGTGAAATGAATACATGAATAGTGACATGACAGGTAAAAAAAGACTTCAGCCAGAGTAATGTTAAGGCAAGATTGTTTACCTTATTGGTGGAAGAATATTAAAATGACAGCGGATGAGGAGAGGAGATGGTTGTCATGAACGGAAACAAAGTCTCGGTCACTAGAGATGTCGTGTCATAACAGATAGCTCAGTGACGAAGGTGAAGATTTAATTAGCTAACCTTTTTACCCCAGGTCACAAATCCCTCGTGTGAAGCCTCGAGCTTAGGCAGTATGTGACCTATTCCCATCTACAAGCAATGCAGATCCATCACGGTCAAAAAAAATGAATGTGTTAATATATAAGTAAAAGAGATAAATGTATAAAATGATTCGAATGCACGAGGATAAACTCAGAAGGGGTGGTAATTAGTGGCTGCTCTAATTTTTTTCTTTCTTTCTTGCTTGTCCGGGCGATATCCTTGGCACTTTTTGAACCAGGAAGTAAAACTTGCATTCAAAGGTAATCTGAGTCATAAACATTACTCATATTGTTTTCATAACAGCATGGTGTGACACTGAACATACCACTACTTACTACTTTGTCTTATTCCAGTAAAAGTTGTCTTTAAAGTAAACGGGATTTGGGGTTATTTATTTGAAACGTTAGAAATATTGAAATTAACATTATAACTTTTGATAGATTGCGGTGTTGAAAAGTAGCACGAAAAGTGGAAGTTAAAGAGTAGTAGTGTGACTGGAGTGAGGATGAGAGCATGTCAAGGTGAACAGAAGAGTGTTAGATGAATGTACTGGTGACTCTGCTATAAGAAAAACGAGAAATAAAATAAAATAGGCAACTGTAAACAGATGAACACAATGAATGTTTAATAAAATACCCTGGTATTTTATTTAATTAGCTAGTAGTTTATTGGCAAAAATATAAATACATGGTAAATATATACAAAGGATTCAAAATACATTTGTCCAATAAAATATTTTAAATGAAAACATAACATGTAAGAGGCAAAATATTTCTGTGCCCGAGATTCTGACCCATGCAGTTAACGTGTTAGTGATGCAGTTTTCCAGTATTATTTGGTGCATGGTAAACTCAACTCACCCATGAAAGCAGTATAGTGTACGGTCGACACCGCTGTACATGCACTCGTGCCCTTCCCTACTTTGTAAGAATATAAAGAAGAATAACTCACCAGGTAGACGATGTACGGAGAGGTAAAAGCAGCCAAATAGCCAACAGTATGTATAGCCATTGAGCCAGAGCCACGAGCCACCGTAGGCAGCACCTCCACAGGGTATTGTTGTCCTGATCTTACAAACCACAATTGATACATTTTGTCTTGATTAAAGTTGTACATTAAAGAAATTTTTTGGACTCCAACCTGTCCCTCTCTACTCTTTTTCCTTACATTTTCTTAGCGTTCTTTTTTGTTCCTACCTTTACTTATAGGTAGGTCTCTTCTCAACCTTCCTTCCTCCTCCTACTCCACCTTTTCTTTACGTATTTCCTTTTATTTCCCTTAATTCTATATTCCTACTCTTCTTCTCCCCTTACTTTTCCCATCACTTATCTTTATCCCTACCACCTCCTTCACCCTAATATTTTCCCAATACTCCGACCTCACCCTCGGGAATGCCAGCGATGATGAAACAAGCTAAGCCTCCAAAGATGAGAGTGAAGACGGTAGTGTGGCGACGTCCTAACTTCTCCACGAACACCATCGTTAGAAAGTCTGCTGGCAGCTCCACGAACCCGGCAATAGTGAAGGTGACGAACACGTTGCCACCGATGTTTTTCGTGTTTCTCATATGAGCGTCGTATGCCGTTATAATCACCATCCTGTAGGGTGGAGGAAAGTGATTGATGGAGGGTAATGAGGAGGGAGATGATTGTGGAGGGTGATGATTGTGGAGGGTGATGATGGTGGAGGGTGATGATGGTGGAGGGTGATGATGGTGGAGGGAGATGATTGTGGAGGGTGATGACTGATGATGGTGGAGGGTGATGATGGTGGAGGGTGACGATGATGGAGGGTGACGATGGTGGAGGGTGATGATGGAGAGTCATGATGGTGGAGGGTGATGATTGTGGAGGGTGACGATAGAGGAGAGGATGGTGGAGGGTGATGGATGGTGGAGGTGACGATGGTGGAGGGTGATGATGGTGGAGGGTGATGATGGTGGAGAGTGATGGTGGAGGGTGATGATGGTGGAGGGTGATGGTGGAGGTGATGATAGTGAGAGTGATGATGGTGGAGGGGTGATGATGGTGGAGGATGATGATAGGGAGAGGAATGGTGGAGGGCGATGATGGTGGAGGGTGATGGTGGAGGGTGATGATGGTGGAGAGCGATGATGGTGGAGGGGTGATGAGGGAGAGTGATGATGGTGGAGGGAGATGATGGTGGAGGGTGATGATGGTGGGAGCGATGATGGTGGAGGGTATGATGGTGGAGGGTGATGATGGTGGAGAGCGATGATGGTGAGGTGAAGTGGAGGGTGATGATAGTGGAGAGGATGATGGTGGAGGGTGATGATGGTGGAGGGTGATGATGGTGGAGAGCGATGATGGTGGAGGGTGATGATGGTGAGGGTGATGATAGTGGAGAGTGATGATGGTGGAGGGAGATGATGGTGGAGGGTGATGATGGTGGAGAGCGATGATGGTGGGAGGGTGATGATGGTGGAGGGTGATGATGGTGGAGAGCGATGATGGTGGAGGGTGATGATAGTGGAGTGATGATGGTGGAGGGTGAGATAGTGGAGTGATGATGGTGGAGGTGATGATAGTGGGGTGGTGGAGGGGATGATGGTGAGTGATGATGGTGGAGAGGATGATGGGGTGATGATGGTGGAGGGTGATGATGGTGGAGAGTGATGGATGGTGGAGGTGATGATGGTGAGTGATGATGGTGGGGGTGATGATGTGGGAGTGATGATGGTGGAGAGATGATGGTGGAGGGTGATGATGGTGGAGAGCGATGATGGTGGAGGTGATGATGGTGGAGGGTGATGATGGTGGAGGGTGATGATGGTGGAGAGCGAGGATGGTGGAGAGTGATGGTGGAGGGTGACGATGGTGGGAGAGCGATGATGGTGGAGGGTGATGATGGTGGAGGGTGATGATGGTGGAGGGTGATGATGGTGGAGAGCGATGATGGTGGAGGGTGATGTGGTGAGAGCGATGATGGTGGAGAGTGATGGTGGAGGGTGACGATGGTGGAGAGCGATGATGGTGGAGGGTGATGATGGTGGAGGGTGATGATGGTGGAGGGTGATGATAGGAGAGTGATGATGGTGGAGAGCGATGATGGTGGAGGGTGATGATGGTGGGAGAGCGATGATGGTGGAGAGAGGATGGTGGAGGGTGATGATGGTGGAGAGTGATGATGGAGGGTGATGATAGTGGAGAGGATGATGTGGAGAGCGATGATGGTGAGGTGATATGGTGGAGAGCGAGATGGTGGAGGGTGATGATGGTGGAGGGTGATGATGGTGGAGGGTGATGATGGTGGAGGGTGATGATGGTGGAGAGCGATGTTGGTGGAGGGTGATGATGGTGGAGGGAGATAATGGTGGAGGGTGATGATGGTGGAGAGTGATGATGGTGGAGGGTGATGATGGTGGAGAGCGATGATGGTGGAGAGTGATGATGGTGGAGGGTGATGATGGTGGAGGGTGATGATAGTGGAGAGTGATGATGGTGGAGGGTGATGGTGGTGGAGGGTGATGATGGTGGAGAGCGATGATGGTGGAGGGTGATGATGGTGGAGGGAGATAATGGTGGAGGGAGATAATGGTGGAGGGAGATAATGGTGGAGGGAGATAATGGTGGAGGGTGATGATGGTGGAGGAAAGTGATTGGTGGAGGGTGATGAAAGCGGAGGGTGATCACGGTGGAGGGTGACAGTGGTGGAAGGAGTTGATGACACAAACAGCATGACACAACTCACCACATGATGCAGAGGACTAGGAACCGTCGCCTCAGCACCGGTGTGTTCAACAGGTCCATAACTGTAGCGGTAGACTCATCGTTTTTAGCTTGCTTTGATCCATATTCCTGAAATGACAACAAAACAAAAATTACATAAGCTTGATGGTGTAAGTCGTAATCTAGTGAGAAATATAATGTATAGATTAAGGTGTACACAAGGTTGATTTAAGCAACAGAGCGCTGGACTGTCTCGAACTGATTTTTTGTTTTCTAAGAATGGCGAAATAAAGAAATTGTTAACTGATCTGTTCGAGCAGAATTACTGAGAAATGTGTTCTCTAATACAGGTATATTGCCCATAAGTAGAATGTAAGGACCTCTACTTCTAAAGAGTGCGTGACCAATCAAGAAATGGAACAAGACAATTTACGACTAACCCTGAACTCCTCTAAAAAATCTGGGGTGAGAGTTTTGCCGTTGACGCTCGCCGCCTTTTTCAGGATCTTAACGGTGTCATCAGTTCTACCTTTACTGATCAACCAACGGGCAGACTCGGGAACCAGCCTGAAAACAAAACAAAATCAATCACACAGTCGAGATAAAAACAAAACCAGATAGGATAGATTAAACACCAAACCATTAGAATCTGTTATCGTTTTAGCAATCAGAACGAGATGAATTACAAGTGTACATGGAGACCTACCAGATAAAGAAGAGAGAGATTAACTGAGGAGCGTGGATGATGATGGCGAAGGTTGACCAGTTAGCGACTCCAAGAGCTATCCAAGGCATCGAACACATGGCTGCCGTCAGGAAGAACATGATAGGCACGTTGGCCATCACCGTTCTGTACTCACTCGACACATATTCCAACACTGTAAAAAATAAAACACCCTTCATTGTGTATCACGTATGTTTAACAGACTCAAAATGCGACATTATCCCTCAAGTGAAATCTTAACTCTTTTATAATGTCGTCTCCTACTTTAAAGATAATAATATTGATGGATTTGACCTCACACTTTCCCCTCTTATTTTACAAAGGTAGAATGAATAAAAGGTCTCTCATAATTATCAAACATCACAGTTATGAAGATGTTGTGTGACTCTTTACATCCCTCTCTATCATTAATATCCCATCCCTCTTTATCACTAATCTCCCATCCCTCTTTATCACTAACCTCCTATCCCTCTCTGTCATTAACCTCCCATCCCTCTCCATCACTGAGTTCCGCTTTTTTTTAATCTTGCACTCCTGTATATATTGCACCTCGTTAACATAATCCTTTTATTACTGGGATCCAGGAATTCACGAATATTTAACCACACATATACCCAATCTGCAACCTTGACAGTCATTTTTGTTCACAGATTTCCGAATATGCTTAATAGCCAACCAAAATTGGAGCTAATAGTCTATCAATCATATAAAATACTAAATTAATGTGATTATGTCATTTATTCTTTAAAATAAATAGGTGACTTTATCGAATTGTTTGTAACTCACGAAGTATATAAGTGACCATAAAATGCGTATCATAAGTCATGCCAACGATGAACCTGAAGATAGTGAAGGAGACAAAGGAAGAACAAAAGGCAGAGATTATTCCTGCCACGCCTCCCAGCATGTTGGTGGACACAATTATTGGGAGTCGACCCCACTTATCTGACGCCCAGCCCAGCAGTGGCGAGGCAACGAGCGACCCTACAAAAAATAGCGACTGAGACAAGGTGGGTAGCCAATCGTCATCGCACACCCAGTCAAGCTGCAAGACAGAAAAAAAAATAGTATAGTATAACTTTCAGGCAGAGGAGAGCTGATTGAGCCAAATGTTCAGGTGTGAATCCGCGATTCCGCTAGTTAGGAATAAAGAGACACTGAACAGAACACTGAACTGAACAGTGAGCAAAAGGTGTTATTCATGAATGAGTATATAATGCGGAGAAGCCATGAAGCACCCTGCAGGATAGTAATTACTTGTGAAGTGATCGTAGGGTAGTAGAAGGAGTAGTCGTAGTTCCAGCCGTGAGTGCACTTGACGGTGGGCCAGGAAGTGTTGGGCCAGCTGTGGTTGTTGTTCCTCACCTCCTTGGACAGAGAGGTAGACGTGAGAAGTTGGATAATTTATTGTTCTCACTTTCTTTATTTCCTATTATTATTTCATTAAAATGTTATCTTCGGAAATTCGCAATCTAACGAGTGGAATACGTACTGATAGCAGATTTATCTCTCTATAAACATGTCCTTGCTTTAAACAAAACATTTTTGGGAGGATGCGAATAGGTTGAAAATTTAACAACAAATCTTTGATTCTTACCTCAACGAAGTCAACGTCATATCTCCTACACTGAAGGAACTTTTCACTGGTGTTGTCCTTTGGTATCGTGAGGTGCATCAGCTCCTCTTGGGTTAAGTTAAGCTCCTGGAGACCAGGAGGTGGACGACACCAATGAGGGGGCGTCAAGGTCATGAACATCTGACCAAAGTAGATGAAAGCCAGGAAGACGTTCATAATACAGTTGACGACAAACAATCCCTGAAGAATAAATCAGAAGGTTGTTCAGAGAGACAATAATACTGTATTCAGGAATGAAACAGTGCGAGAGCAAGAAAGTGTGTCATGAGGGGAATGCAGGTCAACAGTGGTAGTTAATATGAACAGAGTGAAACTGACATACGAATTAAGACTTAGAGACCATTACTCACCATCTGGTACCGGCCGAATCCTCCGATGTGGTTAAACACGGAATCGAATTCGGTGATAGCCATCTTGTGTGGTGGCAGTCTATTTTCCTTTAATCCTTAAAGTTTTGCTGCGCTGTTGGAAAAGTACTAAGTAGTTGTTTTGTCCGCTTCATATAACAATTAGTCTGTATATGAATAAAGTGCATATCATCTATTTCATTCAAATAGTTAAAACCTCATCACATTTTCCTGTTGTTATTATCTCTCATAATTTATAAAATATTGTTGGAATAGTGAAACTAATAACCCTGTTATGCACTTGAATACCTTATTTCTATTAAGAAAGTATACTGTACACTGCAGTATCTCATTGTAATTAAAAACTAGAAGGTACTGTAATATGACCAAAGGATTAACAACTATAGACCTCCCGAGTGAATGATTGATTTATGAAATTTTCACCTTTCTCAACAATTTTCCCCTGTAAGTAAAAATTCATAACTTAGCTACTCTTCGTGTCTGATATCGAACATATTAATGAACAACTGTTTCGATCATCGCTCATAGGAGCGATTTGGGTTAGAGGACAATAAGACCCTTGTCGTTGACGCGATGAGTATAATTCGGTCAAAACCTGTTGAATACAATTCACATATAACAACTGCTGGTACATCAGGACACAGTTTGAATAATACGATCAATATACAGTACATAATTACACTTATTAAAGTTATTTAGAGTTCTCAGAGGATTCAACAGTTCACAATCACACTCATGTTTTTGGGTCTAGGGTTAGACCAACGACAAATATAATGTCCTGCGGGAAGAAGTTGGCTGACGAGAATCAAGATGTTGCCTCTACAGTAGAAGGCGATAGTCTGCCCCTCAGGCATTCACACACTACCAGCTCCATCTCGCTTTGTAATTTATTCCCCCTTGGGGTAAATCTAATCTTTATTACTCATGTATTACACTAGTTTACGTAACGGATAGTAGATAGTAGGCAGCTATCAAACAGGGAGGTACTACCGCCTGGGAAGATATTGAAAGCATAATGTATTGTCTAATGGTTGACCCTTTTGCCGTATGGCATCACGAAAATTGTGACCAAGTCCCAGGTTGCTGATCTGACTTTCTGTCTCATTTACAGGCATGGACGAGTTGTCGGTTCTAATTAAACACAAGAAATACACTCTGCCACGTTCGTAGAGTGATGCGGTATATATAATTTGTAATAAAAGTTTAAAGTCCTACGATAATAGTAGAGATAAGTTTATTTCTCTAGAAACAGGGCCATCATTTGCAATGACATCACCAGTTTCCCTGCAGACGACGTTCTCCAACAAACTCACCGCTGCAGTTGTAGGTAATACAAAGGAGGGCCTCTTGAGTAACCAAATGCCATGTTCAGGTAAGTTTTATGGGTGTTCATGGACATTTCGTAAGTGAAGAAATGTGCCGTGAAGAGCAGCTTATGGACATAAAACACTCCCATGTTCACACCAGCTCATCTGTCATGTATTCTTACCTGGTAGACTTTCTTTTTTTTTTGCAGTGCCTTTACAAAGTCTATCAGTACTAGATGGAGATACGAGTCAATTTAGAAGTAATATCAATGTCTGAATTTTGTTTTGAGAATGCATTGGAATATATCATCATCATTTATATTAATTAATGGGTAAAATTTTATTTTAACTTCCATAAGTATTTGGATGTTTTAAGTTTTGGTCATCCCTGTACTTAGACATGTAGACTATGTTTTTTTCTGATGGCTTGCGATGTGTTATGGACGATTTTGACCTTCAATTCTATCGGAAATCACTAGTTTTGAATTACTACCCCTCCCTCCTTACCGATGTATATTAAGCTAACCTTATAACTTGTAACTCATCATACCCTAACCTAACCTAACCTAACATATGACCTGTATTTTCTTATGCGATCGAAAAATGTTTTGTGACAGAAATCTCTTAGAGATAATGTGTCTTATCCTTTAAAGTACTCAATTCCGTAGTTAGAATCTTAAGGTTCCCCAGATGACGAAAACCAAAATAATACCATTATTATTTGGAATGATTATACTTTGAAATTTGTAGTAGGGGCAGCTAATATTCATTGAATTAGTTAATGTGATTAGTCATATTTATATATTCAATATAGCATTACTGTGTTGCACAATAAAGTACAATTAATTGTCTATTAATATTTATTTAAAGAGCCGATCAGCCGAGAAGGTTGGACAACTACTTCCAGGGTTCATCAAAGTAGATGGAAGAAATTTACCAAAAGTAGATGTCTTTACGATCATAGAGTATTATCAAGAACTCCGCCATCCAGCTATCAAGCACGTTAAATTACATCTGTCAGCTGATCATCTCCTGGCCATGGTCGTCCCTAGTCTTTCCACAACATTAAATATAGACATCAGTGTCGAAAACTTACATTTCCAGACATGAAATAGAGAACAGCGATGAAAACTTCCATGTTAGAGTTATCGGTCTTTTGCATCATTTTGGGACCCAGCAAGTAAATACACACGATGATGTTGAACAGTAATTCATTTTAACCTAAAAATAAGGTATGCCTGTGTATTTCAACATTGTATATGGTCACAAGTCCTGTATTTCTGCTGGTAACAATACATACACCACAGCTGGCTGCCTCCAGGCTCCTGCTCGGCGGCTTGAGCCAGCCAGTAACGTCACAACCAATCACAGCTTTTCGCAATCACGTGACTTTTTAGCTACTTTAACCCTTATTTTTTTTTTAATTTTGGCCCAATTTATTTAAAAATATCATTACCATCGTGAATTTAAGCGTTTTCTTTATCCATTGACCTGCCATCTTACGAAAAAATTCCGACCGACAACTCGTCCATTGCAGGGTTTCAATTGTTTCTCTTACTTTGACAATGCAACACACATATATCGTGTCTCAGTATTGAGATACATTTTTTATTTTTGTTTATTTATTTATGGTCCCTTCTTATTATTATTATTATATTTCGCCCCAGGCCCTGATGTGGGTCATTAACCTGTGCCCGGGTGGACCAATCCCAAAAAAAAAAAAAAAATGCGGCTTTTAGGGGATAGGTCGTACTCTACCCGACCATTTTGACTCCTCAGATGTGTATTCTTTTGAAATTAAACAGAATATCTGAATTACTGTATATTTAGTCAGCAGACCAACGGGCCAGTCATTACTGACATTTACTACGGATTTATTCCTGCTGTTATAAAACTAGTTTTCTTTTGTTTGGTACAGCAATTAACCTATGGGTTGAGTCACCCATGGAGTCTGCTGGCATTCTCTCTCTCTCTCTCTGATCAAAAGAAACCGCATTAATTAAATAGATGCTACAAGTCTGGGACGTCATTCGTGGATTATCGCCTAATTGTGGCAACTTTCTCTGATAAAAAAAAACCACACTCACTGTAATCATGTAATATCCATTAATTGTACTCGCCAAAAGTGAGGCCCAGCCTGAGTCATCTTTCACATGGTTAACAATAGAAGCAGCAGCCCCTTTCTCTTACCCTCTTTTGCTGTGGGTCTCTGCCGGGGCGAGATCTTAACTATTGTATGTTAATTTACTCTTCAGTATCTCGTTGTGTATGTTAGCTGATGACGTGTGGTGCATAACATAATAGTTTACACTTGGATATATAATGGTATACGGTACCTTAGTTTCCACACTTCTCTTATTTATGTTACTTTATGCTGTGTAAGTTGTGTTTACACCTTTGTCTTTATAAATTATGGGTGTTTTTGCGTATAAGTTGTGTCTCCTTGTTTATGATGATCTACACTTATGCTTACTGTTTATATTAGTTTGTAGACGTACGCTTAACATATACCAAAATGCAATAAGAGAGAAGCATGTCACGGGTTCCTTACTTTTTTTTTTTTTTTAGCGATTAGTATTTTTCCATCAGGAGTATATTAAATGCAGATATATTTATGATGGGTCTTTTAGCTAGCAAGAATCTTATCACAAAGTATGTTCGCTACGGTCCTCAAAAAGATGCATGAGTATGAAATAAACTTACGCAACTTACACAACTGCAACTTGTTTTGTTATAGCAACTGCACTCTTGATAAATTCCACAGTGAAGCTGCAATAAAAATTCCTCCTTTAATTCTCCTCTATGTCTGTGTGTGTGTGTGTGTGCCTGTCTATACCTCTTTGTTTGTCTGTGTCTTCCTGTGTGTGTAAGTGTATGTTTGTCTAAATATCCACATTATCGACCATAATGTAGTGTATCTTAGTCATTTATGTATCAAATTGCACAAACGTAAAGCATGGTCTACTTTAGGTATACAATAACAACTGAAATAACATCCACAGGAATATTCGTCTACGTTATTTGCCAATTAATAAAACAAAAACAGCGTCCAATTTATTATTTTTTACACACAACTTAATGTTTTTTTGGTTTTTTATATGAATCATTATCTTATGACTGCCAAAGAACATAATGCATTTAAATATTCCACTGAATGTAGGTACTTTATTGGGGTGCTTTGTACTACCTACCAACTAAAATACAGTACAGTTCACAATACTCATAGTAAGTGTCTCAGAAGAAAGAGAATAAAGTGGTTGAGTGATATTTAATAAACCTGTTGGCACCAGTGTGACTAGCAAGAATAAGTGAATAAATCGTTTCTTGTTGAGGATGCGGTAGAAAATCTTGATCATAAAAGGTCACACAGTTTCCCCATTACATTTATGGTGGCGTAAGAAAGAAGTTTCTGAAGACATAAAGTGGTTAAATTTTTGCTTATCAATGTAGATCTGACGTCAAAATAGTGTAATGACTATAATCGCAAACCACATCATAATGAGAATGCCCCATGGTAGAGCAATCGTTTTACCCTTGACACGGACCTGGTTGACACGGCAAGATTTACTGATGAACTCTGAATTGTATTAAGAACTCTCCCTCCCATGGATATAGAATCCTTATAAAGAATTCAGAGGAGAATGACAAGACTAATCCCGGGCATTAGGAACCTCGAGTACAGAGACAGGTTAAAACATCTTAATTTGCACTCCCTCGAGAGACGTGGAGTAAAGGGCGATATGATAGAGCAGGGGTTGGCAATTATTTTGACTGGCGGGCCACGTCATGAATTTTAAGTACACGCCGCGCTAGATTTAATATGAGATGCAAATGAATGCATTTGCACAAAAATAAAGCCCTGCATTTATATATATATATAGGATGGGCAAAATATTAAGCAGCATGCTTTTACAGATATTTTGTGAAATAAATACGTCACTTTAGCTTTTGTACTTCCTTTATTATTGATAATAATGCCACCACAAATACCAATATTAATACTAATAATAATAATATATAGAGTTATGAAAAGTGCAAATTTGGTATTTAAGCATTAACGTAAATCTCATCGTAACAGAAGTTATGAATCGATAATATAAGTTGAAATAATTAGTCTCTTGAGACGTCGTTCTACCTTCCCTGGGGAGTAGTGGTAGGCTTCGAGTTGGTCAGGTCTGATCACAAGCTAACCTGCCTTCGTCTGCTTCCCGGTGGGAGGTGGTGGTTGGGTGAGTCAGTGCCAAATCGGAAGCTGTCTCGACCGGCTGATCTATGATGTCACCAAGCGTAGACTGCTTGAAAAATGTATTTAATACAGTTTAATATTTATTGTTGCGTCTTCAAATTAAGGATAATATAATTAAGTTTTACTGGTTGAAAATAAGGAAAAAGCGTTAAAGCACCAATATGTAATTTATTAAAATATTTTAAAGTGTGTTCATATGTCATATTATATTCTAAAATGCTTAGTATCTTGATAAGAATATTTAACTTACTCCAGTGGGACTACCATGTGCTTGATGATTGCTGATCAGACCATTGAAGCTGTGTTGCCTTCCTGCTGCTGCAATGAAAAGTACTTGTTCAAGGTGATCATCAGTCATTGCAGATCTAAGTTTTGATTTATTCAGCTTCATTATCGAAAATGTTCACATATGGCGATCCAAACATAAGCATTCTTGAGCATGAGCCTTTAGTTTTGGAAATGCACAGTCATTAAGAGAGGCATATAGAATTTGGGAAGAGTCGCTGTTTCTATCCTGCTCAGAAAGCAAAGGGACCATATTGCATGTCAATAAGCCTGAGTTGTAGGTCAACGGGGGCTTGTCAACATCAAAATGAGAAGGGAGAAGACGCCAAAACAGGTCATTTTCAATTAATTTGAAATCATGAATCTGCGTGAAAAATTCGGCATGTAATGTCAACAGAAGGTAATGAGTAATTTCTGTACATTTTGATCACAAACTTCAATCTGTTGTAAGGTTGCAAAGTGAGCAAATTGTTTGATCGTAATCTGACGAGACAAAGAAGTAATTTCTTCATGAAAGCTTGACACTGCTGTACAAATCATGCAAAAGCCCCCTTGTAGTTTCTTTTGAATTCAGGTCATCTATATGACCCATGATCAACAGCAAATGCAAGTAAAAATCAGAGAGCCATTTCTCATCATTCCAACTGTGGGAAATCTTATAGCATTCTGTTTCATGTCCAAAAATACGCCAATCTCTTTCTTCAATTCCCAAAACTCTTTTCAGGATTTTTTCCCCAAATCCAAGCCACAATTTCACATTTGTAGTGGATACAGAACATCCGTATGATCAGATTCCAAGTCTTCTCAAGCAGGGTTATAAACTGTGATTTAATCCTCTTGCCTGAAATGTAATTAACCACTCTTTCACAACTGTGTCAACGACATGGCTAAATTTAAAACACTCTTACAAAGGACTTTCTTGATGAATAATGGTGCAAAAAGACAATATTTTGTTCTGGTATTTGTTTCTCTGACTTGATCTTGAATTCTTTTTAGCAATCCAACATTTTACCTGGTCAGATTTGGCCTCCATCGCGTGGTCAAGTATTTTACCAGTTTGTTCCATTCTACTCCTAATTTCAAAAGACAATTATTTACTGCCTCCAATAAATCTTCTCCAGTTGTTGTTCCTTTCAGTGACGCATTGATACCATTTCTTCTGTGAT